CCGCTCCGGCTCTCGCCACCGCCTGCTCTCTCGTCGCTCGCTCCTTGCTCTGTGCGGCGCTCGCCGCGCTCCCGCCTCCCCCGCCTCCACCCTCCCCCGCCCTTCCCGCCGCCGGCCCCTGAGCGGCAGCCCCGAGCCCGCCGAGCTCCTTCTCCGCTTTGCCCCACACTCCCTTGGATTACTGTCTCCCGCACCCCACGTTCGCAGCCAGCGGGGCCAGGGTGGTGTGGACTGGGGGTGGAGCCCTTCCTTGTGCCCCTTGTCCCACCTGCCCCCTCGCCCTCCAGCAGGAGCAGAGAGCTGAGAACGACCAGAGACCCAGAAAGGTGAGGTTGCCCCAGGCACGAGGGTCCTCAAGACCAACCACCAAGGTGCTGGTGCCATAAGAGGCTCCAAGGTGGGGAAACTGAGGCTGAGAAAAGGACGTTGGCCAAGGTCACAGGGCAGGGGCAGCAGGCAGAAGCTAAGTACAGGTCTGCAGGAGGCTTCACTGGCCTATGGCTGACACCAGCAGCTGACCTTGACCCCCACAGGGGGACTCTGGTCCTGGACCCTTCCCCAGCCCTTTGCCAGTCAGCTTGCAGAGCTGGAGCCAGGATCTGTCTCATGTTCCCGGGGCAGTGAAGAGCAGAGAGAGGGCCCAGAGTCAGTGGGGTATGGTGTGAGGGCCTGTTGGGCACAGGGCTGCAAGCTAGACCTACTGTGCATGCAGGACTTCCTCAGTTCCAAGCATGTGTGCTGTGGGGGCAGGGACAAGTGTTTGAGGAAGCAGCATGTGCATGCATTTATGTCATCCATGAGGCTGTGTACATGCGTTTTCAAATCCACATGCAGACGGGTGTCTGAAGTGTGTATGGCTACCTCTGTGTGCCAAGCAGGCAGGGAGGGGCACAAGCTTGAAGGCAGTTGTGGGCAGGTGTGAAGGCTCTTGGGTTGGGAGTCAGATACACAGATGTGTGTGTGTGTACAGTTGTGGGGGATGGTGACCCTCTGGCCTGAGCCTACCTCAGCAGGCCTTAGCAGGCCTCAGTCTCATCCCTGGAACCCCATCTGAACCAACTCCCTGCCCCCTTGGGTCCAATCAGCCAAAGACCCCAGCAGGAAAGCTGATTGCCACAGCCGACCCAGCCCTGCCCTTCCCAAACTGATTACATTTTTTCTGCTTGTTTCTGCTTTTGTCACTGATTAATCATAGCCCTCTCTTGGAGCCTGGGGAGAGGGGGCTCAGTGAGGAACACCAGCCCCGGGTACAGCCCAGGCAGGGGCCCCAGCACTTGGGCATTGCCCTGGAGCTCACATCCACATCTGAAACCTGTAGAGAAGGCAGGAAAGACCCCAGTTGCCATTTGAATGAATGTCTGCCCCAGGCCTCTGGGCCAGCTTGCCCTCTATTCAGACATGGAGCTGAAGGTGTAAGGAGCCAATTGAAAAGCTCCCCGAAGCTCTTTGTCCACCTGCTCCAATGTCTGATCGTCCATCAAGTCAGCTATATCCTTGAGCTGCTTCAGGGTTTCTGATCAAAGATGTGACGAAGGAAGAACCAGCCACTGACCCAGGCAGACCTGGGCTCCTGAGTCTACAACCTTCTTTCCATGGGGCCTCAGTCAGAATTCTTAACCTCCCAGGGCCTCAGTCTCCTCACATGTCATGTGAAAGTGGCATAACTGCCTCCCAGAGGTGAGGATGAAGTGATTTCACATGAAGGGTGCCGAATGGCGCCTCACTGTGTCTCTAGGGGAGTTTCTCATTACCATGAAAATCGCCCCTATGGGAATATGAATTAATAACAATTATAGTGTCAAGTATTGATTGAGAGGGTGAGCTGCTTGCTTGTTTTCTGTGGGGCCCTGCCAGCCCGGTTTGCTATCGAGCTGAAGGAGAGAGGGCTGGAACCTACTGAGAGACTGGCAGGAAACACACCTTTTAGTGTCTTCCTGGGAGACTGCCGCAGAACATGTTGGTACTCGCCCAACAAAGGGTTAGTTCCCTGTGGATTCCCTGAAGCCCCTGGTTTTGCTGCCCAGATGGGGAATTTTCAAAACAAGGGGCAGAAAGGGACCAAACACAAATCAAGTGAATGTCCCTCCCGTGCCCAGGCTCTATGAGTCTGGGCTGAAGGAACGTGCTAGAGACCACGGAGACAGGGGCTCGACCCCACTGGACGTTGGCCTTGGTCTATGTCCAATCTTGTGAGCCAGGTACTCCACAGAGCAGGAAAGTGGCAAGACACTCTAGGATGACAGCTTTAACATCATGGTATACCACACTATTGGGCCATCTCTGGCATCTCAGTCCCCTGATGACTCAGGCTGGTCCCTGTTCTCTCCCCTGCTGCAAAGCCACAGCCCAGGATACTAGCAGTTGAGCCAGAGGGCTGCCAGTCAACACCATGCTTCCCAGGCTATGAGCTACATCTGCTGGCTGGGGAGCTGGGACATACCTGGGCTATGCATATGACCTACTAGGGCGCCCCCACCCCTTGCCCTCATTCATAGGTAAAGACCTGGTTTCGGAGGGTGCTTAAGGGAACAAGCTGGGACTGTAGAGCCATATGAGGCAGAGCTACAGTTGGGGCTCAAGGCAGAGGTGGGGGCTCCTGAGGCCAGGTTCTGGGATATGCCAAACTCTCCATGCTCTTCTAGCCCCCTTAGAATGTGGTGGCCTCTGGGAACACCTCCTCCACCCTTCATTGCTGTAGATGGTGTTCAGTGGGCAGCCCGTGGGTAGCAGGCTCTGCATGGTAGGCCACCACTAAGAAGGCAGTGAGATGCTTGTGCCTGGGACTCAATGAAAAGGCCACAGAGCTGCAGAGTATGATTGAAGTTGCAGTGGTAGGGGACGGGAGGCAGTCATGGAGGGACATGTACAAAGGGACATGGAAGTAGCACTTGAAAAATCTCAGGGCATCGGGTAAGGGGAAATGGTGTGATGAGCAGTCAGAACTCTGTAAGGAGATGCCAGAGCTCGCAGCTTCTTCATCTGTTAAATGGGAACACATCTAGAACAGTAAAGTTTTGCATTTAAAGTGCCCAATGGGGTAAAATCTGTGGCTCTTATTCAATACAGCCAGGGACAGTCTGGCATGGAGTCAGGAGCTCAGAAGTATGATGATCACTGTAGCTCTAGAAGGCAGGCTCTAATTTGCATCCCACAGGTCACCCATCAAGGCCCAGAGCTGGGATGGAATCATTAGGTGAACATCTGTCTAATGAATGAAAGAGTCAGTGAACGAACAAATGATTGTCACCCACCCGCCCTTCTACACAGCAGCCCTGTCCTCTCCTCTGTACTTCATGGGAGCAGATGGTGTGATCATAGGGTGTGAATTATGTCTGTCGCTCCCCCATCTGGGGAGGTGCCATCATGCAGCGCTCTGTGGGTGCCCACTGGGGGATGTGTGGGCCTTAGACCCTCCCAAGAGGGGTCTCCACAGACCTCACAGCTTATCCTTGGTGAAGGCAGCTGGAGAGTGAGGAAAGATGATTTGCAGAAACCTGAAACTCAAGTTTCAACTGACAGCAAGACAAGAGGATCGCCAAGTCCAGAGACCAGACTCCTTCCTTCCAAGATCAGCCAAGTTTCCATTCTCCCTGAGACCAGGGTTCCCCATTCTGGGTACTGGAGCCTTCTCTCCCCAAGATCAACACACTCCCTGCCTAGACCGCACCTCTGAAGTCAGCTGCTTCTTGCTACCCATATTCAGCACCAGGGAGAGTTCCCAGGACTGTGGGCACCCAGGCCCAGGGAGGGAAGGAAGAAGTGGTTTAGGGCCCAGGAGAGCCTGCCCAGATAGTCACTGGACCCACTGACCAGCTGAGGAGTCACATTGGAGGGAGAGTAAACATCAAGTTCAAGGTCATACCTGGACCATTGGCCACAGCCTAGGGGCCCACTTGGAGAGAGATGTGGAGAGGTGGGGAGTCACAAGTAGGGGGGAAGGGGTGTCTAGGGATAGCAGAGGTTCTGGCCTCTGCTTCTTGGCTGGAGAACAATATTGTTCCAAGAACCCACTGGGGACAGTGTCTAGAGGTGAATAAAATATTCATCGTCCAAGCAAACTCATGCCGTCAGTCACTTGATGAATAATGGAATTTATAGACTTGCAGCCACAAGCTGGCCCAGGAGAGGGTGCAGTCGGGAACCTAGGGGCCCTGCTTGCTCTGATTCCTGCCCTGTACTGGCCACCCCTCTGAGCCTCAGAGCCAAGTTCCTGAAGGGGATTGGAGCAAATAAGGGAACAGTCCATCTGAGGGGAAAGACAGGAGGGCCAGGCCTTAAATTCGTTGTTCCTTAAGAAACAACTTGGAAGTGGAATTAAGTGAAACTGTGATGAAACCTGACCTCAGGCTGTCACCAGCTTTGTGTCTTGATGGTGGCATCTGCCTTGGCCTCAGTTTCCTGTGTTGTGAAATGGGCCTATGCTGTCACCACACAGACTGCTACAAAGATCTGCTGAGGTGATAAAGGTGATGGTGCCAATTCTGCTCTCCCTAACCCTGACCTTCTGAGGCTCCCTGTCTGGCTCCCAGAATCCCTTGAGC